TTTTGGAGGAGGAAAAGTTTGGTACTCACGGTTTCAGAGGTCACAGTCCACAGAAGGCCGGCTTCTTTGCTCAGTGCCGGGGGTGAGGCAGGATGTCAGGGTGGAAAACTGAGGGGAGGACTCAGGCCACGGCCCCGGGAAGCAGAGAGACACTAAGCTCAGCTCACAAAATACGTACCCCAAAGACATGTCCCCAGTGCCCAGCTCCTGCAGCCACACCCTACCTGCCTACAGTCACCACCCAGTTCATCCCTGTCAGGATGAATGCACTGGCTGGGTTGAGGCTCTCATAACCAATCATTTCCTCTCTGAACGTTCTAGTATCGTCTCACACACGAGCATTTGGGGGACACCTCATATCTAAACCATGACACCCTGAGATGTCCATCACCTAGTCTGGTGGCCCTGTGAGTTTCTGGGTCGAACATGGAACATGAAACCTTTGCCTGGCACCAGACCTTATCCTCTGCTGAGATGGTGGCCCTCCTGCTCCGGGGGTTAGTCCCATGTTGCAAAGCCCAGGCCGTCCCACCCCAACCCCAGAGCCTCCCTCTTCCCCTTTCTGAGTCCAGGGAGGAATGTGGGCTGAGCAACGTGAGCCATGCTCATTCCTGGACACTCTGCTCTATGACCTGAGGACAGTCTGCCCTGGGAGCATCCCTGTATGTCAGGACCTTTCCATGCAAGTGGGGGACCACTGAGCCACACGGCTGCTCCAAGTGCCATCTGGTATAACTCTCAGGTCCTCCTCCAGCGGGACCCTTCCTTGCCCGTCGCCCAGAGAAGGTTTCCTTCTAGAATTTCCACACAGTTTCTCATAACATGTCCAACCCCAAGCAGGACCCCTTCTGCCCAAACCCACATTTCTCACTCAGTGGGAGTGAGTAGTCATTGTTCCCATCACCCTGCAGTAGTCGGGTAGCAGCGGAGCTGCTCCAATCCCCTAGTGTCCCCTGATCTTGACTTCACAAAGAAACAGTTAGCCCCTCTTCTCCGGCCTCTTTGGGCACACACCTCAGTCCATGCCTTGGGGACTTCACCATCTAGCAAGGGAGAAATAAAAGAAATAAATGATATGCACAGACAATATCAATTGAGTACTCACAATTGAGCACTCAGCTATTCCCAGCTGTTTTTATAGATAAGAACTCTCAATTCTCACAATCAGTCTCAGGTACACTATTATCAGCTCACACAAACATGGAAACAGACACACAGCAAGATCAAACAACTTGCCTACGGGTCACACAGCCAGTGGGGAGAAGCCAGGACTTGAACTCAGACAGCCTGACACCACCACCTGTGCATTAACCACGCTTCTGCCTTGCGTCCCAATGAATGTCAAGTTCCGACTAAAAGGCCCGTTACTGAAGAGAGGAATGTGGGATGCAGACAGGCCAAGACCCTCCTGCCCCTGGCCCTTGGCATGTGCTACTTCTTCTGGCTGAAACCCCATTGCTCCCCTCTCTGTCCAGTCGACTGCTGTTCACCCTTGGACTCCAGCATCCAGGAGGAGTGATGTCCTAAGGGACCTTCCCCACTCCCCCAGACCATCAGGATTCATCTGCAAACTCTTGCTGCCTGTGCAGCTTTCCTCCGGAAGGCTCATCGCAGTGCCAAGATTCATTGCCGATTGCTTTTTGTTTTTCCGTCTCCCATCAGACCACAGCCCCACAGGTGCCTGCACGCAGTGGATGCTCAATAAACAGCGGTGGAGCTCATTATTAACGGGTTGATTTACTTGCCCTAGACAGCCCGAGGTCTGTACCCACACGGAAGCTTCAGGCTCTGGGGTCTCCTCCATCTCTCTCAAGTGGTCTCCTGCCCTCCTCAAGAACCCCCCCCTGTTCCACCCAGGCCATGCTCTTGTGACCCAAACCAGCCCACGTCCCCTGAGGGAGGGACAATAGCCTGCCAGGTCCTCTTCCACCCACGCAGGACACAGATGCAGGGCTCGGGGAGGACAGGGCCTGGCGACCTGAGGGGCACCTCTCCTTGCCTAGGACTCGACTTGGGAATGGGAGGCTTCCCAGGACTGAGCTGGGAGTCAGGGAGTGGAGTGGAGGCTGAGAGGAGGGGCCCCGAGCCGGACATCCTGTCTCGATGGCCAGAGATGATCTTTCAGACCCCATAAAAGCTGGAGCCATGGAGACGGCTGTAGCCACGCCCCCTCAACGCTGTGGTCAGGAGCCCGGAGCCCAGCAGATCGATATCATTCGGGAGGCTGTCTGCCCCAGCTCCTCTTTGCTGCCAAGTCTCCTCAGAGGCCTGAGGGGTGGATGTGGAGGAGGCAGAGGCTCCAGAAAAAGAAAGGAGGCGGGTATTTGTTAAGGGCTGGCGGGGGCCCCCAGTCAGCCCAGCACCGTGTGAGGTGGTCTCCACCCTCATAGCTGCCTTCTCGGGTGGGATCTTCCCATTTCACAGATGAGGAAACTGAGGCCCAGAGAAACCAGAACCAAACCCAGCCGTTCCTGGCTCCGAGGCGGGGCACCTCAGGAAGATCCTGCTTCAGGGGGCTCTTCTCAGGTCAAGCATGGGACTGGCCACGCTCCAGCTAGACAGGTCACTATCCCGGCCTGTGTCTGCAGCCACGCCTGATGGAGCTTAGGAAGGGCCTCTGCAGTCTCCAGCCCCACGGTCTCCCGGGGGGAAGCTCACCCCTCCCAAGGACCCCTTTCCTTTCCAAGCAGCTCCCCCACCTCTGACCTCCCTGCAGCCTTCACCCAGCGCCCATGGAGGCCGGAGGAAGCTGACTCCCTGGACATCAGAGGCCATGGAACATGGGATGCCCAGTGTCACCTCCTCCCCTAGCCTCCTGAGCTCACGTTGAGCTCCTGAGTCCTGGCTGCGCCCTGGGCTCTGCCCCTTCCCACCACTCCCCAGCTTGCCTGCCCCCCAGAGCTCACGCACTCCTTCTCTCCCTTTCTCTAACGGGGCCATTTGCTGACAGGCAGAGCTAGGGTTGGATCCTGGAGGGGGAAGCCCCTGCACCCTGGTGCTGGGAACCTGGAGCTGACTGCTGGCTGCACCCCAGGTGCTTGACGGGTAGGAGGCAGGAGAGGAGATGCCCACCAGGGGACTCAGCATGGCTCAAGAGGCTAGGTCACCTGTGCGTGTGGACGGGGGCTCTGTGTGGTCTCTGCCTCTGCATGTGTATAGTGTGCGTATCTGGGGGAGATGGGCACACACACAACGGCACGTTTGCTTCTGCACCAGGAAAGGTCTGGCTATGGGGTCAGCTCACCTGGGGTCTAACCTAACACTGCCACTTATCCCAGCTTTGTGACTTTGAGCAAGCACCTCAACCTCTTTGAACCTCAGTCTCTTCCTCTGTGAGATGAGAACAAAGACATTCTTTATCTCACGGTTGTGCTTGTGCAAGAAAATACACTTACGTGCCTAGTGCAGGTCCTGGCCCTCTGCGAGTGTTTGCTGAACACCGGCTGTCACAGGTAATGACGACGACGAGGCCCAGCTTTGCCAGTTAGAAGCCAGGTGACCCCTCACCCTCTGTTTCCTGAGGTGTCCCTTAGGTCACAGGACAAACCCCATGTCGTGGATTTGGTGGGACGTCTGGCCTGACGCTGCCGTCCGGGGACAGGCCTCTTCACAGCCGGCAGGTGTGTGCTTCCTGACTCGCTCACCTCATAGAGCACAGGTGTCGTCCCACGTGGGCCGGCACCCCGGGGTTCCTGAGGCCCTTTCGGGGGTTCTGTGAGGTCAAAGCTACTTTGTAATGATGTCAAGTCGCTCTTGGAGTTTTTAATTCAGTTTCTGCTTTAGAAAGTATCAGTGTCCCAGTGGCTCGGGAGGCTGTCAGGAGATTGCAAGTTCAAAGCCAGCCTCAGCAACTTAGGGAGGCCCTAAGCAACTTATTGAGACCCTCTCTCTAAATAAAATTAAAATCTCTGAGAATGTGGCCCAGTGGTTAAGCGCCCTTGGGTTCCATCCCTGATATCAAAAAATAAAAATAAAAAAAGGTTCACTCTCTTCCATTTCCTTTCACACGTAATGAATGTTCTAGAAGTGAATGAATATGTTTGAAGTGTCCTCAGTTTTAATTTATACTGAGGTCAAGACGGAAAGATACAACCCACCTAAACAAAAGCTCTTCAGGGGCCTTGATAATTTTTAAGAGGGTAAAGGAGTCCAGAGACCCAAAATTGGAGAGGCCTGCCCCTCGTCCACTGCTGTGCCAACCTGCGGGCCCCACCAGCCGGTCCAAGTTGCTCTCCCGGCCACTCTGCAAGCTCAGTGGAGGACTTGAGGATGTGGGGATCCCCCAGAGCCCCTGTGCTGTGCTGAGGCAGCCTCCGTGGACCACACACCCAATCCTTCTGAACATGGGTGGCCCAGCTGAGCTCGCTCCACGGGGACCACCTGAGCGGCACCCGGAGATTCTACCTCGCAGCCTCTGCTCCCCTTTACTCTGATAAACCTCACCCCTTCAAGGGGCATCCAGCCCCCGCCATTCTCAGTCCCCATGGCTGATTACAGAAGGTTCCAGAGGCAGCTCTCTCAGAACCAACAGGCCTGTGCCCCAGGTTCTCCCTGAGAACGTAGGGAGACGGAGTCTTCGTTCTACTGGGACCAGCCAGCTGATGGGACTGAAGGCTCGGAGCTTCCTGTGACCCCATCACTGGGACAGAGTCTGCCTGAGTATTGGGCCAGCCCAGGACGAGCGAGGGGAACAGATTCCCCATCCCATCCCTCCACACCCTGGACCGGCTCTGCCTGCCCTCCTCAGCACTTGGCCTAATAAACGCCATTTTTTTTCTTGAATAAATTTGAATTGAGTTTCTCTTCCAGATGAAAGAGTCCAGATGAACAACCCAACAGTGACCAGAGGTAGACTCGGGTGTTGGGGAAGTTGTTGGGAGAATTTGGGGTGAATCAACCACCGGAGGAGGGAGAACTGAATCCCCCTCATATCTGATGCCCGCGAAGGGTCCCTTTCTTCCAGAAACCCCCCAGACAACACCATGCTAGATGACACCATGCAGTTTTTCTTTAAGTTTTATCATTTATAAAGCCATACAATGGATCGCGAAGAAACCGAGGCGCTGTACAGGAGTGGGAGATCCAGCGTGGGGGTCCGTACATTCATATCCAGGACGAATAGCATACATCAGAGTTTATACAAGGTGGCAAAGTTATAGGCACAATGATACAAAATATAAAGTATATTTCCATCTATATAAATACACAGCGGGGTTTTCTGCAGAGGACCTGGGAGGCGGGGTGGGGGTGCCGTGGTAAGGAATTTCTGACATTTGTTTTGAATGACAAGTCTGAAGAGAGGAGAGAAAATGGGTGGGGGGGGGACACAGCAGGCACACCTGGGCTTGCACACACACACACACACACACACACACACACACACACACACAGACCAAACACAGACCCACAGGAGAGTGTCACTCCATTTAACACTGATTAGAAAACAAGCTTGGGACATGGCTCTGCAATAACCTCGTTGCTGGGAACGACCCAGGTGTGGGAAACTGAGTCCCCTGTCCTTTCCCACATTTACAGGGGAGACAGGAAGGAACAGGTCTGCTGAGCCCAGCCCAGGGGGCCGGTCCTCGCTGCCACCCGACGCTGAGACTCCACCAATCGCTGGCCCTACAGGCCTCCCTTCTGATAGCTCTCACCGCTGGGTCACCTTGAACTTGACATTCTGCCATGCACCACCTCGGACCCCTACCCCTAAGTGCCCTAAAGAGATGAGCCAAACACACACACAGACGTCCACACTTGCACGCGCGCACACACACATCCTGTGTTACCTCTGGACACGGGAACACGAGTCTCAGCATTCCAGGGCCTGGCCCTGGGTGAAGAGGTGGCCCTGAAACTCTGCCCCCCAGCTCTTAGAAGACCCCAGGGGTGGGCAGGGGTGGGCTTCTTAGATGGGGGTATGAGGTGGGAGAGTTCCCCTCCTTTCCCTCCTGAGAGCCCCCTCATAGCAGGATGCCACACAGCTCCAGGGTCCCACCACCCATCCTGCCTGGTCCCGACCATATCTGGGGGTTCCTGAGAAGTCAGGGAGAAGAGTCCTCGGCAGTCAGCGTCCTCAGCTTTCAGAACTCCTGGGGGAGAGGGTCAGCACCGAGATGGCTCAAAATGCCTGTCTCCAACCCAGGAGGCGATGCTTCTGTCCTCAGACGCCAGGCTAGATCAAGGAGCCAAGACACCACGATGGCGGGGGGTACCTCCGTCACCCCTGGAAGCCACAAACACAGCTCATTTCCCCAGCTGCCCTCTGGGGTCACCTCACCATGGCTCTCAGGCCCAGCCCTTCCCTCTTATTCTCCCTGGGCCCCAATCCTTGCAGAATCAGAGATGTCCCCACCATGCCTGTGGCGGCCAGCAAGGGCGAGGCCCAGGCCTGCCCCAGAGACCTGCTGGACAGGCAGAGGCAGCACCTCGTGCTGACCATGTGTCTCCCGCTCTTTCTTGCCTTTTCTGCAGACCCTTCCCTGCCTCAGCTCCCATCAAGACCAGACAGCACTCTCCTGCTGACAACAGATTCAACAACACACAACAAGCAAAGGGCCGGGAGGGGGAGAGAAACACGTATAAAACGATAACAATGAGTCAAAGTGCTCTCTCTTAAAGGAAATCTTTGGCAAGCATAGACTACAGCACACAGTGATGTGTGTATATGCGTGCGTGTGTGTGTGTGTGTGTGTGTGTGTGCATGTGCGTGTGTGTGTGCCGGGTCCACCTGTGAGTCACTGGGCAGGGCGGGGTGGCAGGCCACCACGTGGACCCCAAAGTGCTGATCCCTCCACAGGTGTGCTGAGCGCGAGTGGCCAGCTCGCCAGCATCTCTGATGCCCCCCTGGCTCACACGTGGCTGGCCTGGAGGCTGTCCAGGCCTGAAGGGGCTGAGGGTGGGCAGTGGCTAGGCAAGTGTAAAGGCTGACCCCAGTCAGTCCCTGTGCAGGGCGGGCTTCCGGAGGGTCCTCCAGCCTCCAGCCAAGAAGAGGCAACCGACCAGGAGGAGGCTGCCGGCCTAGGAAGCGGGAGAGGGAGGTATTTACAAAGAAACTGGGTGGGGAAATGTCTCCGTCTATCTTAGAGGAGACCTTGAGTGCGTTAGGGAATAAGGAGAGGTGGCTTCAGATATTTGGCTTCAACAACTCAGAAGGAAGGGCACTTTGGAAGGACCTAGATCACCAAGCCTGGGACTTCCCCTTTGGGGAGCGTAGCGGGGGCTCAGCCTCTGCCCCCGTCTAATCTAGACACTCTCCTTTCCAGCTCCCAGAGACGCACACGTGCACCCGTGGCCACACACACCTGGTCCCCAGCATGCTCACACAAGCGCCTGTAGGAATGAAGACAGCTCCCCAGATGTGCAGGGAGCTGACCGCTGGGCCCTAATTGACAGAGAATCAGGGGGCCAACACGATGCAGCATACGCACCCCACCCCACCCCACCGAGCCCCAGCACGGCCCAGGGCAAGGAGATGCCCAGCCACGCCACGGACAAAGGCCCCTCCACTCAGGCTCTACTTATATGTAAAGAAAGGGACGGGGACTGGTTTCTGCTCAGGGAGGCAACAGAGCAATCTGGGAAACAATAAATACTTTTTGTCAATTTACCTATTTTTTAACCTTTTCTTATATTTTATTAGCTTACAGATTCTGTCAGTATGTCTCAGGTATATATTATATATATTTATATATCAGTACAAAGCCACTCTTCAGAGGGCCCCTGTGGGCTGAAGAATGGAGTCCTGGTGAAGTTTCCATTCTGGCTTAGAGTTCCTGGGTGGTGGCCAAGGGTCTTCCCCACTGCCCAAATGGACCCTTGGTCTTTTGACCTAAATGCATGCTCTTTGTCCCCTGCTCTGTGGGCAGTGTGGCTCTGCTGGGGAAGCCAAGGCAAAAGGGAGACAGCAAGGCTCTGGCATGATGAGGAGGCCCTGGAATGCTCCGGAAGCAGCCCTAGGAGCTTTGCTGATGTCACCCTGAGCAGCCCAGCTGAAAGGCGCCTGCAACCAGTCAGACCTTGAGGCTCTTACAGAGGGGACATCAGGACCACAGGTTTCTCCTGGGGCCTTGCTGAGAAGGGAGCTGAGAAGCAGATTCCCCAGGATGAGCCCCAACATGAGGACCTTGCAGGAAAGACAGGGCAGGGCAGGAAGTCACCATCTCCAGCGCCCCAAAAGGCAGCATGCAGATAAGCAAGGCTGAGCTAAGGCTGGCGCTGGGGCCCTGAGCCCAGGAATGGGGCCGAGCAGCAGGAGTAAGGCAGAGCCCCGGCACTGGCCAGAGCGGCCTGCCCAGCCAGCTGTGAGCCACCCGTGGTGGGAAGGTGTCAGGGCTCAGCAGCCACCTTTCCTGACAGTCCTCCTCCCTACAGACACACATATCTCTGCTTCCTCACACCAAAGCCCGGGGCTCCGGGTCAACCAGCCATGGAGCAGGGGTGCACTTCCCCTCGGGCCAGGGCCTCTGTACAGATCAGGCTGGTGGCACCCGGGGCCACTCGAGTATAAGTACAGGGACGAGGAGGGGGAATCCTAGGTACTCCTGCAGGAGAGGGCTCTGTCTCCTCCTGCTGCCGTGTCACCCCCAACCCTAACCTTCTTTGGACAGAATGCACGTGTGTGCTAACCCAGGGGACAGAGACGAGCAGAGCTGTTTACATTTCTAGCAGACAGAGGCGAGAGAAATCAGTGTGTGAGGGTGTGGGTGGGGACATACAAACACCCACGTCACAATGCATCAATGGCCCAGCACGGGACGGAGGGGCCTCGGGTCTGGCCTAGTGTCAGAAGGAAAAGCTTCTCTGCGAGCTTTCTCCCGCCAGCCTTGGGGCTCAGCGACCCGCCCTCAGGTGGCCAGAAAAAGACTCTCTTGGCTTGAACTGTCCTTGCAAAGCAGGTGGCAAGGGACACAGAGCTTTTTCATTTTCCCCCCAAGATGTGGATCCCAAGGAGGCCCGTGGAGGAGCTGCGTCCTCGCAGAGGGGGCGAGAGTGAGGGGACCTGGGTGGCTTAGGAGGCTCTGGGAGGCTGCCGTTTCCATCTGCCCAGGAGAACCTGCGTCTTCTCCTCCATCTTTTTTTTTGCTTTTTCTCCCTCTCCCCTCCCCTCTGTATTTCACTTCCCTCGCCCAACGCTACACTTTCTTCTCTCCTTCTCCCAAATTAGCCCAAAGTCCTCCTTGTGGATTCGAGGTGGTCAGGATTCAGAGGTCCCCTCCCCAGGTGCCCCGTCCCCGCTGCCCTGGCCCTGGGCAAGGGGTGCGGGCTCATCTCTTCTGGCCGGTGCTCTGCATGACCTTGGAGACAAAGTTGACGATGGCCGAGGCAGGCTGCTTGGGGTCGAGCTCGGCAAAGAGGTGGCAGGCGTTGTCTGTGGTGCTGCCCTGCTTCCGGGCCACGAAGCCAAAGAGCCTGCAGGGGCGGGAGAGGGTGGTGGGCAAGAGGGGAAGACAGGAGGACCCTGGCCAGGGCACGCCCAGCCTGCCACGTGGCGTCCCCAGCCTCCCCAGGCCTCAGGGACAGGGGGGCGCCTGAGACAGAGCCCTCTTGGTTCCCCCGCAGCAAGGCCCAGGCTGGGGACAGCGTCTCGCTTTGTTTCAGGGCAGGCCAACGGTCCCCTTGGAGGGGTGGAGCGGGACTGGGGTGAAGGACAAGACTGGATAGTTCAGGGTGGGGACCAGAAATAAAGTGGGAGCATTCCTCAAGCAGCCTCTCCCAGCCCCACCCATAAACAGCACAGAAGCAAACCAGGAGGCCGGGGGCCCAGCCAGGATGGGGCCTCCGCACCCACTACGCACCCAGCAGGCACCCACCACACACCCGCCATGCACCCGCCATGCACCCCAGGAGGTCAGGGAGTCCAAGAACGAGCAGGTCCTCCACCCCCCACACACACACACAGCCACCCTGTCCAGAGGCTGGGAAGCTCAGAGAACCCAAGGGGGAGGGGACCCCACACCTGTCCCCTCCAGCACCAAGACGGGAGTGACCTAACATTCTCTCTTTGCAAAACAGAGTTAAAAATACGAGGGCAGAGAACAGAATGTGAGCTCGGGGCCCCTCCCAGCCAGGGTGTTGCTAATTAGAGCGAGATGGGGAAATCGGGACAGCTGGAGATGCCCATGGACACCCCTCTGCCTCAGACGGCACTGCCCGGCTAAAATTAGCCAAGTCACAAACACACTCTCACACACTCACACACACACACTCACACACAGCCCTGTACTTCCCACAACTTGACTCTTCCAGCTTGGTTTCGGGAGCTGGAATAGTGCCCAGGTGTTGGAGTCCCTGGGGTCCACAGGGCAGCCCCCCAGCTCCTCCCTGTCTGGGCTGGCTAGGGCTGTAGTGCAGTGGGGGTGACCTCAACAGGGTGGGGGTCATCTCTGAGCTCCCATCACACAGGCATGCCAGCCTTGTCTGCCTGCTTCTGCCATGACGGAGACCTGGCCAACCCATGCCTGCCCTGACACTGCCACCTGCCCCCGCTGCAAGCCCTGGCCTGCCTGGCCGGCTGGCAGGGACACAAGAAAACATGGGGACTCAGAGTCCTCGATGATTATGAGGACTGAACAAGGCCAAGTCCTCAGCGTTAATCACACCCAGATTCCTGGTCACTGGAGGTGGCCTGGCTGCCTCTGGTCTCCTTTCTTCAGCCAACAACCATTCAGCAGCCTCTCTGTGGGACACTCAGCCCTGCCCAGATTGCTGGTCAAGCTACCTCCTCCCATTAAACCCATCTCTCTCCTACCTTTCAGCCTGAGCAAACTCTACCTGTCTTTTAAGATCCATTTTAAAATATTCGTTCTTTTCCAAAGCCTTTCCAACTCTGTCCCTGACAGGACACACTCTCCTTTGCTAAAGCCACACACGTGGGCTGTACTGTTTCTCCAGACTTCAGTGACATTGGCACAAAGATCCTTGCTGGCCTTTCCCCACCCCAGGCTCCGGATTCTAAACCTGCCACCCCCCCCCACCTGCTGGTGGACTAGGAAGCCACACTTACTTAGCAGGAGCACCTCCCTCTGTCTTCATCCACCTGTTGAGAGAAAGTCAGCTCAGGGTAAATCCCTGCACCTGTCCCCAGAGCACCGCCCACTCAGACCAGACTCTCTGGGGCAAGCAGAGGCGCCTGGACCTCTGCAGGATAGAAGCAGCCAAGGTCACCCAGGGGCTTTCAAGTTGGAGCAAACACTGCCAGGCTCCCTCCCACAGTGTGGCGGGGAGAAACAGGGTCAGGGTCAGGGTCCGGGTCAGTCCAGAGGGGGTAAAAATGGGCATTTCAGTCCCAGGAGGGTCTCCAGATCTATGAAGAAAACTCAAAAAATGCCCAACACAATTAGGCACACTCCCCTGGACACAGGCGGATCTTCCAGGTGGACTGAGAACTCGCGCACCTGGCTCATGTACACACGCTCTCTCCAGCGGCGTGAGCTGGCTGAGAGGGAAGGTGTTTCCAAGAGACTTACTTTCTTTCCTGTGGATCCAGGTCACAGAAGGTGACAGTGTTGAGGGGGTAGTGTCTTCGGAAGAAGAGCCTGTGGTTCAGACATCAGAGAACAGAGAATGAGCATGGGAGGGTCTGCTTCCTCCAGCCCTCGGCCTGCGCCAGGCCACCTCGCACTGTGCCTGTTGTGGGTCACTGTCTCACAGAGCAAGACGGCCTGAGGCGCTCACATCGGAGGCCTGAGTGATGCATAGGGACAGAGAGTTGTGCCATAGAAACAAGCCCAAAAGCCAGAGGCTGGAAAAGAAACTGACACTGAGGAATGAGAAATGGGGGGACCCTAAAGGAGGAAGGAAATGAACTGGGGTCATGGTTAGGAGAGAGCCTGGGAGGAAAGACTCTGCTCCTGGAAAGAAGGACCTTTTAAACAGTTGTATTGAAAGCTGACTACCTGGTTCAGGCAGATCCTTGTAGAAGGATGGAGGGAGGGAGGGAGGGAGGGGGGATGGAGGGATGGTGGGATGGATAGATGAATGGATGGAGGGAGGGATGGATGGATGGAAAGATTGATGGATGGATGGGTGGGTGGATGGAGGATGGATGGAGAGATGGATAATGGATGGATGGATGGATGGATGGATGGATGGATGGATGGATGGATGGATAGATTGATGGATGGGTCGGTGGGTGAATGGGTAGATGGATGGGTGAATGGAGGATAGATGGATGGAGGGATGGAGGATGTATGGATGGGTGGATAGATTGATAGATGGTAGGTTGGTGGGTGGATGAATGAGTGGATGGATGGATGGATGGGTGGGTGGATGAATGGATGGCTGGATGATGGCTGGATGGATGGATGGAGACACACACAAATTAAGGGATAAGTAGGCATAGAATAGATAGGGAATGGATGGATGGGAGTAAGTAGATACATGGACCCATTGATGAGTGTGTGAACAAGTGGATGGATAATGGATCAATGGATGAACAGCTAGTGTGATAAAGAATGGAAGAAAGATAGATGGATGGGAGAATAGGTGGGCTGAGAGGTGCAAGGGTGAGCGGTGGTGAGTGGAGGCACGGATGGGCTGCAGGAAGGAGAGCCCAGCACAGGAGCAAGTAGACGAGGCTTACTTTCTCTGGTTGTCAGTCAGTGTGATTCCCTGCGCAGAGACCTTGAAGTGAACGATAGTGGCAGCTGGCGTGGGGTCAGCAGCCAACGTCTCAGATGTAGCTTTGGAGATGGCCTGCGGCCCAGTGAGTGACTCCATATCCACGGAATTGACGAAGAGTACATTACAGGCTACAAGAAATGGACCCAAGTGGGAATCAGGAGGGCTGGAGTCGGTGGAGACGATACCCCAGGTCCACTCTTGAGGGAAAAGGTAGCAGATCAATTTCAGGGCAGCCTCGGGCCAAAACATCTACACAGAGGAACATAATCTGCCTGGAGACCTCCGGGCCTGGCAGACTTCCACCTGCACCTGCAGGAGGCCCGGGCAGGAAGGTGGAAAGAGGGCGTGGGCAGGGGTCCAGTCTCCAGGGACCACTCACCCGCTCCTTGCTTCAGCAGGTCAGAAGTCGAGTTGGCAGGGCCCGAGCTATCTCTGGATTCATCTGTGGGGTCTGAGACAAAAATTTGCCTGGTAATTAAAACCCTAGAGCTGGAAAGAAGCACGGTTGGGCTGGGCCTAAGGTAACTTCTGCAAACGCTTTGTGCCAAGGACACGCTCTCCACGGCTGGCCCCGGTGGGAGTCACTGGGTTACCTACAGGTGGAATGTTCTACCAATGTTGAGAGCTCTGGGTCCAGGAGAGCTGGGCTCGAACCCTCAGCCCGCCACTTGCTAAGTGGAACTCATGACCCAGGGTTTTCAAACAACCCATATATAGTGTTAATCCACTGCCTGGCAAAAAGCAAGCTTCAAACAGCAGTGGTGTTGCTTCTGTTTATGCTTAAATTCATTCAACCACCCACAGAGCACAACCGTAAGCTCAGGATTAGTAAGAACCGAGCGATAGACATGTTAAGTAGCTTGACTTTACCATTTCCCAATGTGTAGCTATATCAAAGCAACACATTATACACAGTGCATACTACTGTTTTTATTTCAACTATACCTAAATAATTTTTTTTTCATGGTATTGGGAATTGAACCCCAGGGGCACTTTACCACTGAATTACCTCCCAGCCCTTTTAAATTATTTTAATTTTGAGGCAGGGCTTTGCTAAGTGGCTGAGGCTGGCCTCAAACTTGTGATCCTCCTGCCTCAGCCTCTCCAGTAGCTGAGATTACAGGCCTGTGCCACTGAGTCTCCAGCACTAAAACTTTTAAAAACAAAATCAGAACAACAAATAAGCATCGAGTCTCATTTGTCACCAGTGTTGCTTACACTTTGGCGTGCAGCCTTGTTAAAATGCAGATGGCTGGGCCCAACCTAGAGTTCCTGAAGAAGTGGACTTGGAGAATGCCGGCATTTAACCAGTTCTCAGGGGATGCACGGCCTGCTGGTCTGGGGGCCACGTTTCAAGAACCACAGGTTTATACAATTCAAAGTCAAACAGCTTTGTAATTGCTGGACTTCCACAGTAAATTCCATAAAAATGTAATTTAATTGGTGTCTAAACTGTGTGGTTAATAATGCTGCTTAAGTTTTGTTGGAACTTTTAAGCTAATAATGTTGGCCAATTATTATTAATAATTCAGTGAACTGAATTGAATAGATAAAAATCATCCACTAATATTGGAGATCTTATCTCAACCTCTAGGACATTCTTCTCCTGACTCTCCCACGTCTTAGGCCTTCCCCGGGGATGAGGCTTATTCTGAGAATTCAGTATGAATTTCTTAAAGGCTCCAGAGTATTTTCTAGAACCATCTGGAAAGACAACTTACATATGCCCCTGGAGTTCAACTCTTAAATAAACTTTTCCTTCTCTTGGGGGGTACCAGGAATTGAACCCAAGGGCACTTAACCACTGAGCCACCTGCCCACACCCCCAGCCCTTTATATTTGATACTCTGAGGCAGGATCTCACTAGGTTGTTCACAGTCTCGCTAAGTTGCCGAGGCTGGCTGGCTTGATCCTCCTGCCTCAGCCTCCCCAGCCACTGGGATTACAGGTGGGCGCCACCACGCCCGCAAACTTTTCCTTCTTTTTTATCAGGAAAAAGAAGTGTGTGAGAGAGAGGTTTTGAATTTCCCCACGTTGGCAAAATGGCCAGTGCCCTCCACCCCTGGCCCACATTCTGGAGTGGCTGGCAGGGCCAGACATGAAGGAGGTAGCTCAAGGGCACCTTTGGAGCACGGCGAGTCTCACGTCCTACCTCGGTTTGGAATGACGAGCTTGCAGGGCAGAGCCAGAGGGATGATGGAGTGCTGGTAGACCAGGGCGGACAGGGAGCCTGTGGGACAAGACAGCGGCTCAGGGGCAGCGCTCCTGGGAGTCAGGGGCCAGCCGGGGCCGGGCGCAAACGCCAGGAAGCCTCACCCCACCGGGCTTCTTTCCGTGTGTGTGTGTGTGTGTGTGTGTGTGTGTGTGTGTGTGTGTGTGGCTAGAGATGGAACCCAGGACCTCAGGTGTGCTTGGCTACTGAGCTACCCACAGCTTAGCTTCTTCATCACCCCTCTCTTATCCACGAATTTTCAGAGCTGAAAATTCATGCCCTCTTTTTTTTTTTTTTTTTAGCAAGACCCAGGGAAGAAGATTCCAAAGACTCCCTGTAGCAGTCATATTGTGACCTAACAACTTCCCTTTACAGTTCCTCCTAACATCTTTTCTAAGTCTCTCCAGTGATGACCCCACACCCCTCCCCCACAAAAAGAAACAAACAAGGTAGAAGCATTGGAGAATTGTGGGATCGAATCCCAGGCCAGTCACTTGTTATCTGTGCCTTCTTGGGTAAGTCTAACTAACAGTTCCCTTGTGCGAAACAAGGACGGTGCCATCTACCACACAGGATTACGGGGGAGAGAACTTGGGGGCCTGAAGCAGGGCAAAATGCTGAACCCCTCTCCTGCAGGGACAGTGGTGGGGGCAGCTCACCAAAGTTCGGCTCATTGGGGCAGCCCTTGAGCTTGACTCCTCTGGGGCCGGTCTCGATTAGGAAATGTCTCACCAACTCATGGGCCAGATCTCCTGGGATGGAGAGAAAGAAATGGGACGCTTTTCACAGAGTCCCCCCACGGACTCCCAAGGCTGCTCTACCTCTTCTCCAGTGCACGGGGCTGGGGTGGGAGAGAGGGTCGCAGAGATGGGGAGGCTGAAGCCTGGGGCTGCAGAGACCACCACCGGCCCCTCCAGAGAGGAGAGACACCTGCTTCCCTGTTCCCCAAGGCCACCGTCACCACCCAGGGCACGCTCTTCTGGAGAGCCGTTTATCAGGCACCAGCTCTCTGAGACTCAGGTCCTGCGCAGCACCCTGGGGCCCCCCAGCACCCCAGGGCTTGAAGAGCCCGTGAAGATCCCACAGTCTCCGGAGGAGGATGTCACCTTTCTTATTCTGCTGCATGATGGTCGGAGGAGGCGAGGACACCTTCATGGCCAGCCCATAGGCCCCCCGGAAGGAGTGGCTGTCGCGGATGACGAAGGCCCCTGGCTCCTGATCCTTCAGGAGTGCGATGGCTGCGCCAGAGGAGGGAAGAGGGCACATGAGATTGGCGTCCCTGGCTGCCTAAGTGCCCTGGGGACCCCTGGAACTTTGTTTTCTCTTGGATGAGATGACATTCTTTAAAGTCAGAGTGTAAACACTCCCAAGGGCCCTCCTGGGCTGAGATGGCCAGAGAGTCAACACTGGGGGCCACGCAGCCTGTCGCAAATACTCAAGTCTATGGCTGCGGCTGGAAGCGAGAGACAGTCTGTAAACTAATGGGCGTGGCTTTGTTCCAATAAAACTTTATTTACAAAGACAGGCAGCGGGCCAGTGGGGCCGTCAGGCAGTCCTTGCTGAGCCACACCCACGCCCCACAGATGTTTCTTGAGAACCCATAGAGGGCCTCGTCTCTGTTCCCATATTCACAACTTCATTTGTTTCTACGAAATGCAAAAATCTCCCACATCATACAGATGAAGAGCTGAGGCTTCATATGATCTTGGCTGTTCTTCTACTTTGTCCAGGAAAACCAAAGCTCCAATAAACTCTTGCAAAAATCATTCACACCAATGGTCTGCCAGCCTTCCCTTTGATGTGGGAAGTGCTTCTTACTGTCTGACTTCAATCCCAGCTCCCTCTCTGTGACCACTACCTACTGCAAAGAGGAATGAGTGCACTGTGTTCCTTGCCCAAGTCAGACACGGTGATCGGCAGCCAACTCTGTCCTCTATGGACCCACAGAACCACCAGAACCACCCAGTCCTCACCTTGCTCTCTGGAGATCTCAGGCTTGTACCAATACTTGGAAGTGTCCTGGACAAATTTCACTTTAGCCCGGGTCTCAGGACTGTTGTCTGCAGGAGAAGAAGAATGGGAAGTGTTACGGATTGAACTCTGTTCCCTGAAAAGAGACGCTGAAGTGAGTCCTGACCCTCAAAGCCCACGAATGAGGCCTTATTTGGAAAGAGGGTCTTTGCACATGGAATCCAATTAAGATGGAAGCACGCTGGACAGAGCCCTGGTCTAGGAGGATGTGTCCTCAAAAGAGGAGACAGAGACTCGTGGAGACAGCTCCATGTGAGGAGGGAGCCACACGGGCTGGCACAGCCACAAGCCAAGGAACACCAAGGACCTCCAGACCCAGGGGGACGTGGCAAGCCTGGAGCCCATGGTCCCTCGGAACCCCACCAGGGACCAAGCTGGGTGCTGGACTCCTGGCCTCTCCATTTCTGCTATTTTAAGCCAACAAGAATATGGTGCTTTATACCCAGGGGGACACAGAAAGTAGTGTCCTCAAACATCACAGAGCACAGCAGGAAGAGACAGAGCAGGGACTTCTCACCCCCCCCCCACTGCCTGCTGGGCATCCCACAGAGCCAACCCAGAGCCTGCCCTGCTCCCAGCACCCGTTCCCTAGCAGATTCCCCACACAGCTAAGACCCACCCTTCCCCCCGCCCCGCAGGCTCAACCTCCCAACTGCAGGAAGACCCCTTTCTGTCCTCTCTTCCTGATCCCCCTCCTCTTTCCCACGTGGAAAGCCAGTGTTCTGCAGTCACACAGGGCAAAAAATCACTCCAACCCTGGGACAAGTATGAGGGACTGGCCTAGGACCTAGAGGCTCTCTGCAGGGTGTCGCCAGGCCAGGTTTCTCGGCTGCTGATCCCTCCACCCAGCTCCTTAGCAGGCCTGGGGATCTCTCCTGGGGTGCTATGTTCTAGGATAGCTCAGACAACTGGGTTCCGCTGTGCAACTTTACAATCAGGAGAGAGGCTTGGAGGGAGAGTGGCTTGGTGAGTTACAGATGGTGACCCACAGAGAGACCCAGGGCAGCTTCTGGGTCGGGGGTTGGGGTGTGGGGCCCCCGCTTTCCGGCCTCTTTCCTCATCCTTGTTCCTCATCAGCAGGTCCTATTGTGTGAATTTCTGGAATACAGCACCACATTTCAACATGCACCCCGCGTGCACTGGTCCAGACAGGGGATGAGCACCTCTGTCTCTTATCATTTCTTTAGATTTGGCACCTTTGAGCGCCGCTCTCCAGTTCCTCAGATCCCATTGGTTTTTGTAAACCAGAGAAGCCACGCTGTGCCGCAGAACCCTAGCACAGAACCCTCCTCACTGTTCTGCTCCTTCATCTTTGGGCACCAAAGAAACAAAAGGAAAGCAGAGGAGAGAGGGACCTTCCACCCCACACCTCCCTCTCCTGTCTTCAGAGCCTGGAGCCGAGGCCCTGCGCTAAGGATGGTGTCAGCTAAGGAGGCCCTGAGCTTAGTCAATTTCCATTGTGTTCACAATCCCAGGCCTGGGGGTTTGTCTCTGGAGGGCTGGGAGGGGGCAGCTACTCTCCTGGCAGATGTATGCAGGACGCCTGTTGCCCGCCTGTCCCTGCTCTGGAGACCCTAGGTTAACGAGCTGTCAGAGGTGGCTGCAGCCCCCTAAGCCTTCCTGTGTTGACTCCACAACTATTTTAAGCAGGGAAGATGGTGGGAAACAGGAAGTGTCCAACTACTCCAAGTTTTGCCTCCTTCAAGGAGAGGGACTGGGAACCAGATGTCCCCAGTGGGCGGCAGGAAGCAGGGGGGTGCAGGGTCACTCTAGGTGTCGCAGGCCCAGTTCAGGACCTAGGAGTGACACGGGGATCAGGGCAGCTGGGCCCGTCCTAAGCTGCCTGAAATATTCCAAATCTGCTTTGATCGCCTGGGGCGACCCTGCATGCAGACGGGTTCCAGTCTGCTTGAGAAACTGCAGGTCTCCTGAGGCCTTGACCTTTGGGTTTAGATAATCAGCGAACGAAGTGGAGGCAAATATGCCAAGTCCTAGGGATGAGTGAGGAATTCAACAGGCAAAGCTGCCTGGACCACAGAACAGGTCTGCAGAAACCTAGCCCTGGTAAAAACACCCCGTGTCAATCAGCCCCGGCCCACATCCTATCTGGCTGCCAGATCTGTTAGGAGGGATGTGCGTACCTGGGGCTGACCAAAGGAAGCGAGGCACAGGTTTGGAAGGCACACTTTCAAAGTTATGCTAAATCACAACAGCCCTCAAGATATGGCCACATGATAAAGACAACTCCAATAATGCCTAAAGAACATTAGTTTGGGGGTAAAACAGGCCTGGACTGGAAGCCTAGCTCTGCCACTTACTAACTGTAGGATGCTGGGCAAACAACAGAGCCTCTGGAATCCTGAGTTCGCTCCTGGGTAAAAAGGAGTAATTGTACCTACTGGGGGGGGGGGAGGGTCATAAGGATTAAGTAAGATAGTACTTAGCCCAGAGGCTAGCAAGAGTACATGCTCACCAGTGGCTTGAAGGTACCTAAGAGTAATGCTATCATGTCCGTCAACCTCATCCTCATCCTCACCCTGAACTGAGGCCCAGCAGGCGGCCACCCATCCCCAGGGTTGTCTGCAAAGGGATTGTCAGAACCGAGAGGAGGACAGATATCCTAACTCCTGGACTCAGCTCAGCCCCAGGAGAGGTGGACACGGGAGGAGAGGCCCACCTGGCATGGAGTACTTGGAGAAGTCGGGCAGCGTGTGGGAGAAGGAGACAGTGCTGCCCCCACTGGGACTGGACATGCCACTGGCCACCGGCGAGGAGGACACCTTCCCGTTGATGGTGGCGTAGTTGGGGAGGCTGCCTGCCCGGTCGCCCACGGACATCCTCCGCTTCTCTGGCAGGGCCGGTGTGGGGCTCCCCTGCCGGAAGGCCGCAGAATCGGGCGAGGGGGAGGTGGTGGGGCTGCTCAGGCCCGGGTAGTAGGCAGGGGAGAGAGGGAAGGAGGGTGTGGACGGGGCCTGGTAGCCGGAAGCGCTGCTCTGTCGGGACAGCGCGGGCCTCCGGTCCTCAGGGGTGGAGTAGCCACCGTAGGCCACGTGCCGGTCCAAGCCGGGGCTGCCAGGAACCATGGATCCAGACCCTCCCAGGTGACGGCCCAGGCTGGGGCTGCCAGGGCTGGCCACTGCGTTGCCATGGAGACTGGGGGTCAGGTTGCCTTGGTGGGCCCCGGGGTGCCGGCCCAGGCTGGGGCTCCCTGGGGTGGTGGCCGCGCTGCTCGGGTGGCTGGAAACGGTGTTGCCATGGAAACCAGGGCCGGGTGGACCCATGACCTGGCGGTGGCTCAGACTGGGACTGCCAGGGGCAGCCATGCTGGGGTTGACGGCCCGCCGGCCGAAGCCAGGACTGGGGGGCGTGTTGGTGCCCACTGTCCTGTGGCGGGCCTGAGGGCTCCCGGGCACCGCGTGGACACTGGCCACGCTGAACTGAGAGCGGGGCTGGCTTTCTGCGGGGCTGAATTGCTGAAGTGAGGAGTCGGGGCTGCTGTAGTTGCTGCCCACGGTCGGGAGAGGAGAAGAGCTCTGGTAACTTCTCTGGGCCACGGGGCTGGGCTGCCCCAGGATGCCGGAGCGGAAGCTGGAATCCAACAAGGGCTGGGTGGGTGTCCGCGGGCCCTGGTCGCTGCTCTCCCCTGATGGGAAACTCCCCACTGAAGTGCTAGAGAGAGGACAGATTAAGAGGTCAGCAAATGGCAGTTAATGAAGGGGGTCCTGGAGGGAAGTGCTCAGCTTCCTTCCAATCACTAATAGCAACCATAATAGCTCCACTTGCAGTCGGCCAGAGAGTCAGGGCTTTTACATCACCTCATGGATCCATCAGAAGAAGAAACTGAAGGTCAGAGAGGTTCAACAGTAAACTCGGGACCACACAGTTCATAAGAGCCCAGGGTTTCAACTCAGCTGGGTCTGACTCCAAAGCCCACATTTTCCCACAGCACTCTGCTGACTACTGAGCCATAAGCCAAGAAATCTCCCTCATGAAAGTTGAAGGTGGCGTCCTGTTGAAGCCTCCAGCATCACAGAAACTCACTCTGGAGAGGGAGGCAAACCACCTGGCTCCCATTCCTATGAGGGCCACCTGACTGTGTCTCTGGGTTTGCTGTCATCATAAGCCCTGAGCAGGCAGGACTGGGCTTCTGCTCCTGGTTGGTTCAAAACAAAAAGGAAGGAAGGGAGGAAGGAAGGAAGGAAGGAAGGAA